CTGCTAGTGCGTAAAGCACAGACATTGTCCAGTGGTTAGGTAGCATCGGGCAGGCTGCGATTGGCAACCTATTCGGCACTGGTCCATCGAGGGAGCTAGTGCCTCTTTTTGTCATATCGCAGTGTTCACATAAACCGGAAATTTCGTTTTACTCTAAAATGTTCACTGCGACGTAACCCCACACGTATTCAGTCTACCGTAAAATGATTTTGCCCCTGACCTTCTTGGTCTGTGAAAGTTTTTATCACATTTGACCAATTTTCGCCAAATGCACCCGTCGCAATGCACATGTTTAAAAGTTAGCTGTTCTCCAATGCTCTCTTTTCGCAGAGTATCACGGACGAAAGTGAACAGTACGGGTGCCGCCGGGCTCGCTCGGTGTCACGGTGGTATGACGCGGTTCGCGTCCATTGTCGGCGACCACCGCAGGCCGTCGGCAAGCCGGGCCCTGCAGGCCGTCCGCAGGCCGGCCGGGCGTGCTGTAAGGGCAAACGAGGATCACGTCGACCGCAGCCCTTGAGTCTGGGAGGGCTTCCGGTTAGCTGGTCGTTCTGCTTTCCTGGCGTCCGCCCCGCCCCGCCCCGCCGCGCCACGCACAGTGGGCCAGAAGACCGGTGGAGGCGGCCGAAACTCTAAACGCGTATTGAGCTCCAGAGTCACTAAAAAGGACTCGAACCGAACGTGTGACCCCACCAATGGATTCCCCGTGCGGAGAGCAGTCCATTGGTGGGGTCATGCGTTCCGTTCGAGTCCCATTGAGCGACTCTGGATGTCAAAAAGCGTCTAGAGTTTTGGTCGCTTCACCGGTCTTCTGGCCCACTGTGCCCCGCCGCGCCCCGCTCAGCGCGTCGCGTGCCCGGAGGAGCGGCACCTTTTAAACGGCGACCCGCCAAGGCGCCATGACGGCCTTTCCACACTCAATTCCATTCGCGAGTGGCGGGCCGGCCGGCGCTGCGGCAGTAAAAACGCGCCATTCCGCGCGTCACGTTCCTGTATCGGATCAGCGACGTGTCACCCCATTGTGCAAGCCTGCCGCACTGCGCCCAACTGCAGCGGAAATCGAGAAAAAATAAAATGTGTAACGCCGTTGACAACACTGACCGGCCACTGCCCAGCGCGCCGCCACCGCCGTCTGACTTGCAAAAGCTCGGACCCGTTGCCACAGTCCTGCAGGCCGCGGGGAGGGCGGTGCTGCACTTGCAAGCCGCGGGGGTGGAACGCGTGTTCGGGGACGAGGACGGCTGCCAAGTCCAGGGTAGGCAACACTCACACTGCAAGGCACTGCAGTGTAGCAGGACAGCCTACCTCCCAGGCGCCGTGCGAGCGCCTGCCAAGTCCAGGGTAGGCAACGCCCACACTGCAAGGCACTGCAGTGTAGCAGGACAGCCTACCTCCCAGGCGCTCCGCTCGGCTCCGCTCCCTGACCAGACGTACCTGGGTGAAGGTCTGCAGGGGGATAAAGTCAATGCCGAGGTCTGGGGGAGGGTGCGCCCACATGCCCTCGTGCGTGTAGTTGGGCCTGGTGGCCGGCTCCGGGGGGTTCTCGTGCTCGCTGACGTAGCGCGCGCTGCTCTCCGCGTCGTCCACGTCCGCGTCGTCCTCGTCATCCTTCTCGGCCATCATCCTGTCCTCCTCGGCGTCCTCCGCGTCCAGCTGCCGCGACTCGGCCTCGTCGTCGCGGGCCAGCTCAGCCATCTCCTCCTTGTCCTCCAGCACCAGGTCGTCGAAGTCGCGGTTCACCACCTCGGCCAGCTCGTAGGGCTGCAGGTCCGCGGGGAGGCGGAGGTGCGCTGGGACTACGGACTCCTCGCTCGACTCCGACGACGTCGCGGTGGTGGTCGGGTCATCATCCTGGTCCGTCCTTCCAACAAATTTCTCGCTCGACGCCCGATCGACCGCCGAAGATAACGTAGTGGTGGTCAGGTCTTCGTCCTGGCCTGCCCTTTCAACAGAGTCCGCGAGAGAGGGCACCCTGCGAGGCACAGCCGAGGACCCCGATGAAGACATCGGCATAGTTCTCTTGCTGCTCTTTCCGCCTCCACGTGTCCTAGGCGAGGTCGTGGGGTTGTTGGAGTAGGCCGACTCTCTGTTCGCTTTCTTGCTCTTCTTCCTCTTCCGGACGGACCGCTCCATGGTGTGCTCGCCACGGCCGTCGTCCATGTAGCGCTCCGAGCCGTAGAGACGGGCCAGCTCGCCGAAGAGGTCATAGTACTTCCCCCAGCTGGGGAACAGCTTCTTGGTGGCGGGTGTTGAGGGCGGTGCCGCCGTCGTGGTGGTTGTCGGCGCCGTCCCTTCCAGCTTGCCCTTGCGTCTCCGTTTACTGGTGGTGTCCGAGACCATCAAGGCCGGTGGCGGCGAGTTCATGGAGGAGAACAAGGACGGCGTCGTGTTCGTTGGCGGTGTGGTCGCTGACGGTGTGGTTATTGACAGCCTGCTCGTTGGCATCGTGGTCGCTGACGGTGTGGTCATTGGCGGCCTGGTCGTTTGCAACGTGGTCGTCGACGGCCTGGTTGACGGCGTGGTCGTTGACAGCGTCGTCATTGACGGCGTGATCGACAACGGCCAGGTCGTTTGCGACGTGTTCACTGACGGCCTGGTCGACGGCGTGCTGCCGTCTGGCGGCCGTCCCTCCTTCCTCTTCCTCCGCTTCCGCTTCTTCCTGCGCCTCGCAGGGGGCGCCGTCGATGCCACCACCGAGGCCGTGGAGGACACCATCCCGTCGTACTCCGTCACCGCATCAGTCACGACGGGCCCGTCGGTGACGGGAACACCGCCGCCCCCCGACCCGCCCCTAGGCCCGGCCGCCAGCCCCGCCCCCGCCCCCAGGTTGGACAAGTGTGGTGCACTTACCTGGCCGGCGGCGGGCGCAGCGGGCGCGGAGGGCGTGCCAGGGGACGCGTCAGCCTGTGCGAGGGGCAGCAGCAGCAGGGCGAGCTTGACGAGCACGGCGATGGACCCGCCTGCGGTCATCGTTGACAGGGCATGACTGGCCGGCGGCGACCTGTCAGGGGCTCGCGTCGGTGCAAACTGGGAGGCCGCCGCGCCGCCCGCCGTCAACGGGCCGCCCGCCACGCGGAGACACTCCGCCGCCTCGCCGGTTCAGTGGCGACCACGGCGTCAGCGTCGCCGAGCTAATCCTCGCCTTTCTCCCTTCCCTTTTCCCGGAATCCCCGAATCCCTCCCCCTGCAGACCGATTCCGAGAGTCGTTTTCGTCGCTCTGTCTCTCTCGCACTCATGGAGCGTCCCGTAAAGGTGCGAGAGAGACAGAGCGACGAACGCGACTCTCGGAATCCCTCCGGTTGCTGCACTTCACCAGTGACTGACGGCGACGCTGCAGAAATGGAAATGGGAACGTCATCGGCGCGCCGTTACCGCCACCGCCCGTCAAGCCTGTTGATTTACCGCAGTCTGGAGTTCAACCTGCTATCCCGCCCGTCAGTACGGTAAATCCAACCGCCATGATCGTCGCACGCAAAGTGCGTTGTCTGATTGCATTTGCATTGCACCTTACAGTGTGATGTTTAATGCCTCAGCGTCACACAGCGCACCCTCTCGAGGGGGTAAACACTCGCGTAATACCCTGTACACAAAAATCTTGTATTACGCGTAATACACGTAATTGTAATACCATTTTGGGGCTAAATATGCCAAATTTTGGCATTTTAGTGCCGTAATACACGTGTAATGTCCTCGTAATACCGCGTAATACCGAGTGCTCTGTACACGATTTCGTGGAGTGTTTACCCCCTCGCACCCTCTCGTGCAATCAAGACGGGTTCAGATCCATCCAGTGGCGTGCGCAGAAATTTTGAAAGGGAGGGGTCAGGCCATGCTTTCTGCCTACTTACAGGGGGAAAGTGACGCAATTTGCCTACCTTCTAGGCGGCTGTCTAGTGGCCACAGGGGGGGGGGGGGCACTGGATCCATCTCACAAACACACACGAAACTCGTCGCATTTGAATCGGTTAGGCCCTCCAGTGACGAAATGGCTGGAAACCACCTCAGAATCTAACACGCTCACTGGGAGTCGGCTAACTGCAGCAACTCGGTTGTAAATGCGCGTTGGGCTTGGCTTGATTAGCCAGGTCGCGACTCGGCCCGCTCGAACGCAAGAAAGGGGGCCGCTTGGCCCAAGTGGTCCTCCCTCCTCTCTCGTTGCCTCACGGAGCAGTGGCGAGCTCGGTGGTTCCGCCGCCGGCAGGCAGGGACGGATTACCGCGAACGTGAGTGATCCCTGCTTGTCGCCTGCCTAAAACGACTCGTGTCAATGCGAATAAAAGGCGGAAAACTAAATCTCATCTCGCTGTGTGGTTGGCTGCAGGAGTTGTGACACGTCTTCTTCGGCCCCTTCCCTCCGCCTCCACCATCGCTGGATCCGTTTCACGAACCGATCACTGGCTTGGCCGGCCAGCAGACTGATTCCGAGAGTCGTTTTCGTCGCTTTGTCTCTCTCGCACTCATGGGGCCTGCCGTATGGGTGCGACAGAGACAGAGCGACGAAAACGACTCTCGGAGTCGGTCTACAGTGGATGATCTGGCACTTTGCGTCCATGGCAGGATCAGCCGGCTGCTGGTCGCAATGCGTCCCGCAAAGTGAAGCGAGTCGGGCACGCCTGGCCGCACACCGACCCCGCCACGCCACGCCACGCCACGCCACGCCACGCCAGGCCACGCCACGCCACGCCAGGCCACGCCAGGCCACGCCACGCCAGGCCACGCCTCGCCACGCCACGCCACGCCACGCGCCGTCGTCAGGACGGTCCTGGCCCTGGCGGGACTCCAAGCAGGACGACTCGTTGCCGCTCTGCTTGGATCTCAATCCCTCCTTGTCGCTCTGCTTGGCACTCTCAGTCCATCCTTGTCGCTCTGCTTTGCACTCACTCACTCCATCCTTGTCGCTCTGCTTGGCTTGGTGCATTCGGGACGCGTCACTCCGCGCTTTCGCGCAAAAAATAAATGATCCGCCAGTCGGATTCGAAATTCGATACTTCTATTTAATTTACTTTGTACATCGGCACACTTTCGGAGATGCGAGATCGGCAACGACGACCTCGTCCATCTCCTCACAGAACAGTAATAAATTAAAAGGGAAACTTAACGAGTTTTATAGAGATAATGTCTTTGATTCTTGTCACACGATAACGGTCACTGCCTTTGCAGGCTTCGCAGAGCGCGTCACTGCCTCCGCACAGTGGGCCAGAAGACTGGCAGCGCCGGCGGCCAAAATTCTTGACGGGCTTTGAGCACCACAGTCGCTGAACAGGCCTCGAACCGAACGTGTGGCCGCACCAATGGATCCCTCGTTTGGAGAGCACTCCATTGGTGGGGTCACACATACGGTTCCAGTCCCATTGAGCTACTCTGGAAGTCGAAACCCACCCGCTTTGCCGGCGGGGGCGGAGCGTGCTATGCCTCCAGTATCGTGAAGGGCCACGCCATGCCGTTGAGGGACGTCCATTGGCGCGCACAGTCACACATTCACTCGGTCACATCACTGCACGCGTCGCCGCGCGTCGCGCAGCCTCTTCACCGCTTGCTCGGCGTCTGCGTGATGGGACTCCAGTCGCTCTGCTGCGCGGACCAGGACGGGCCGGGCAGCGGCGCGTCGTCGGGGGCCGTCCGCTGCTCCGCGACCTCCTGCACCTGCGGCGCGGCCTGCGGCGGGGGCGCGGACGGCGCGGACGGCGCGGCGTGCCGGGGCTCCTGCGCCGACATCTGCTTCTCCAGGGGCCGGAAGAAGTCGATGATGGGGTGGTAGCTGTAGTTGACCCTCTTGGGCGTGGGCGTGCTGGGCGCGCCCGGCGCCGCGGTGCTGGTGGGGATGATGATGGGGGCCAGCGTGGTGGAGGCCGTGGCCTTGGCCGTGGCGGCCGCCGTGGTGGCTCGCGGCCGGTACGTCTCCAGGCGCGGCGGCAGCACCGGCGGCAGCGGCCGCTTGCTGGTGGCCGTGATGGCCGCCGGCACGCGCACCGCGTTCAGCACCGCGCTGCCGTCCGGGTTCAGGATGACGGGCGCCGCGCGCCGCACCGTGCCCTCCGCGGTCAGGTCGTCCGGGTCCGACAGCCTGCGGGGCACAGCCATGGCACAGCTCGGTCAGTGACAAAGCGCCATCCTTTACACTGCACAGTGGGCCAGAAGACCGATGGAGTCGGCCAAAACTACAGGCGCTTTTTGAGCTTCAGACTCGCTTCAGAGGACTCAAATCGAGCGTGTGACCCCACCAATGGATTCCTCGTTCGGAGAGCAATACATTGGTGGGGTCACACGTTCGGTTGTAGTCTCATTTAGTGACTCTTGTGCACAAAACGCCGCCTCCATCGGTTCTCTGGCCCACTGTGCACTGCTATTCGACGAATGTGACGTCAAACTCGTTAGAGTGTGAATTTTTGTCACGTTCGTTTGTATGATCATCCGCATTCAAACGAAAGTGACATCCTTGCTGAACAGCCGCGTCACGACGTCACGTTCCGACGAATGTGGCAGACATCTTCACTGACTATGGATGACAACAACTTCTGTTCTCGTGGCGCATCACGGCTGGACTTCGTTAGACCCACCTCGTCCTGTTGCGGGTGGACCCCGTCCTCCGGCCGGCCAGGGGCGGGTACTGGTCCTGCAGGGGCGGGTACTGCGGCAGCAGATCGCCCGGCCCCGCGCTGTCCTCCAGAGTCTGCAGCCCGTACTGGCCGTGGAGGCCCTGGCCCTGGACGGGCGGGCGGCGCGTGGCCGCCCTGCGGAAGGGCCAGGTGGGCTTCGAGGACCCCGTTGGCTTGCTGGCGGGCAGGGGCTCCCGCCTAGACTCGTCCACCTGCTACGAGAAACACACAGCGGTGCCAAATCAGTGGCTATTCAAACACAGTAATCACCAGGAGCACAAAATTAGGCCGTGTCAACCCGGGGCTCACTGTCAGCCGTGAAACTTTAAACGACAACTACCTGGTTGAAGGGCTTGAGCGCGTACTGCGGCGGCACTGGCCGCCCGGACTCGGACACCACGACGGTCTCGTGCTGCTGCGAGAAGTCGGCGATGGGTTGCTGCTGCTGCTGCAGGTGCTGCGGCACGTAGCCTCCAGGTCGCCTCGGGGGCGCGTTGGACGTCAAGAAGGGCGACTTGAGCACCTGGCACGAGCAGCACGTCGGCACCTGGGGACCAACCCATTCACATTCTAATTGACATTCGGATTCACATTAGAGTAAGGTCAGATGAAAACTCAAGACGGTACTGGTAGAACTGAAGCGTAGTTCTACGCCTATCTTCTCTATGTGCTTGTGAATTTCTTCCGAACGCTTGACTTCAAGCGCAAAGTCTTCAAGCGTAGTTATGAAGGCTTGAATGCAGCGTACAACCACGATTCCGTTTTACCAGTGAGGTAGAACCATGCATTTGTTCGTACCTTGAAAATGTCGATGTGCAGCCCCTGCTCCTTGTCCCACGTAAGCAGGCGGTGGTAGTTGTACACCTGCGTGCAGTGCGACCGCACCTTGTCCGGCATGTAGTTGCAGGGCTCGTCGAGGCGCCTGAAAGCATAGGCGAGGTCAGAAGGCTGTTGGTTGTCTCGGTCCGCGCGGTGTACTTCCAGTGGTGGCACGCACGTGCACTTCTCCAGGCGCAGCGTCTGCGTGTGTTCCGCCGTGTTGACGATGAACTTCCACTGGCCGCTGGTGGCGCGCGCGCGCTGCGGCCGCGCGTACTTGATGACGGAGGCGCACAAGTGCGTGTCGTCGGCGCCGTCCTGGCCGTCCTGCGCGTCCAGGTCCTGCGGGGAGCCCGGCGGGTAGTCGTCGTCCTGCCGCCTGAAACAAGGAGCGTGGGTTCGAACACTGGTTGCGCGCGTGTCTTGGTGGTGGTTCCTCTGCCTCTCCGCAGCATCTCACTCTCCGAGAACCACGGGTTCGAATACCGGCTGAGGGAATTTCGGCGGTGGTTCCTCCCCGCAGCCCCCAGCTCTCCGGGAACCCCGGGTTTAAATACCGTCTGAGCGTGAGTTTTGGCGGTGGTACCTCCGCGCAGCACCCAGCTCTCCGAGAACCCCGGGTTCAAATACCGGCTGAGCGTGAGTTTTGGCGGTGGTTCCTCCCCGGAGCCCCCAGCTCTCCTAGAACCCCGAGTTCAAATACCGGCTGAGCGAGAGTTTTGGCGGTGGTTTTTCGATCCTCCCGGCAGCCTCGCGCTCTTTGAGAACCACGGGTTCAAATATCGGGTGCACCTCAACTGACCGCGCGTGTTAGACCGACTGCCAAACTGACCGATGCGCCCTTTTCGGACATGGCGCCAAAGGCTAACCGGAAATCGTTGATGTGCTAGGGGCCGTCCTTAAGCGGTCTATTTAATATACACACTTAGTATACACACTTAGTTAAAAGAAGGACGGGAGCGTTCATTTGTGGAATGGAGGGAAAAAACCACCGTTCAGGTTCAGTTTATAAAAGTAACCATTTTGCCCCTCTTTAAATCTTATTCTTTATTGCCACAAAACAGTTTTAATTCATTTTGGCAATATGGATGATGACTTCAAAACACAAGTGGATAACAAAGAATTAGAATTAGGTTAAACAACAAAATTTTTAGGCATGGAAATGAACAGTAGATTAAACTGGAATACACATACGGAAGGGCTAAAGAAGAAGCTAACCTCAGATTTATTTCCAATATCAAAGCTATCACAAAGTATCCACAAATCACATCTTAGTACCATTTGTTAATTTTTTAGTTTAGTTATCATTTTAAAAGATTAAAAAAGTATTTTCCTAGTCGAAGAAACAGCAGTGAGATTGACTAAAACAGTAACAGGAGATAAAAATCTTCAGCAGTCTACCCAAAAAAATAAGGGACCTCATTCCAAAAAAAATGATAAACAGTACTATAAAGGGAACTACCAAATACGGAGCTTCATAATCTGACTAAAGTCTGGGAAGAGGGATGGAGTTTCTAATGACAAAAAGAGAACAAAATCACTATTATTTGTAAGATCCTCTATTCTGCGTTCATGTTGAAGACAAAAAGAAAAAAATACATGTTTTTAACTTTATGTAGTCCATCAATGTATCCTGACAATGTTTAAAAGAATGGAAGATTATGAATACAATTAAGTACAATAACACTTTATAATTTCATATTTAAATTTTTTAAGTGCAGTATGGAACTAACTGATACAGAGAGTACAAAACACAATATACAAATTCAATCCACACTTGCAGCTTTGCAGAACTCGGCCTTGAGGTGCTTCAGAATGTCAACTACGACAGGAACAGCCCAAGCATTTCCTAAAAGTCGCCATCGATCTGATTGTGAAATGCCTACGTCAGTATAGTGGCGGCCCACACCAAATAGCTCTTCCATCTCTGTCAACAATAGAGGTGCTCTCTGGGTGCCCTCTATGACAGGCAATGATTTCTCTTTGCCTGAGAAAGTATTAAATAAACTGCATTAGGAGTTAGATTTAAGAAACATATGGAGCTCTCTACCACAGCTACTTACCACAGAGCTGAGAGTGAAAAGTTGATGTCAATGTGGGCAGAAGAGGCACTCCTGCAGAGCGGTAAGGCATCAAGAAATCCTGTAAATTGGGATATTCCACTTGGCTCTTGGGCAAGTCATGTAAGTGTGGGATATTACCCCACCAATACATTTTCCTCTTCATTGCACTCCCGTATTCTGACGCGCATCGCATTGCTGGATGGGTCCCCAGGCACCTTGTCATCTCAACCAATGTTACGTGATCCGTACAAAATGTATTCTCAAATAGCCAAAAAAAATTTTCTTTCCTATCTTCAGCTAACTTTGCTAAGTGGTCTCTGATACGCACATATTCATAGAAAAGGCTTGCTGATGACCCAGGAGCTATAAAGTAAAGAAAAAAATAGTTTAGGAAAAGTACCAGGTACATGGATGTTACAGAAATAACAAGCTACAATGTTGAGATTTTAGTACCTTGCGAACCTTTCTTCAACGGATTAGCCCTGCTAATTTGTTGGCAAGGACTGCCACCCAATAACAAATTTATGTTATCAAGAGATTCCAGAGTGTCATTACTAATTGTCGTAACACAACCAATCATGGTTATTCTGCTGCTGTGATTAAACTTCAAAACCATATTGGCCTTTTCGTCAACCTCACTCGAATAGTACTTCCTAACAGGTATGCCAATCGAGTCTAAAGCTAATATTGATGTTCCAATACCATCAAAGAGAGAAAGCATACATATTCCCTAAAATTAGAAAACAAGCAAAAAAACTCGTCATTATAACAAAATATTTTTGTTTAAGTGCATCCTGAAACCAACAAAGTACCTCATTAGCAGGCTTTGGTGGAAGTGGTGCAACGTCAAATCCACGGAAGTCATCATCTCCTGCCACATCAGGACGACAGCTTGCAAACAGTTGCTTCTGGACAGACAAAGAACAGTCACAAAGAAAATAAGTATAACCAAGTACAACCAAAGGGTACTCTTTTCCCGTGCAAGTACGCACCGTTCCAGAGTAGCGAGGACATCCTTTTTTAGGAGCACACAATCTTCTTCTGTATCCTCGCTTGCGCTTCTTGTATTTACGAGCTTTTCTTGGCATTCTCAGAGGTTATGTTCGCAGGGCAATGCTTGTTGTGCAGTCACTCCCTCAAATATCTTCCGGATGATTCGAGACAGCTCACCTTAAATTCAAATAGGATGTTAGAGTGTAGAAGAACACAATTTTACGTGGTAAACACGTACACCGTGTGCATAAAAGTATTTTAAAATCCGTAACAATGACAATGGTCATTTAAAGCCTTTGCAATACTTGCACACATTACCTGGCGCAACTCGTTAATCAACTACTCCCCTTCAGAACAGTGTGCGAAAAAGGGTCTGCAATACAAATAACCCAGATCCCAACACGTTCGAAGGGAGTGAGTGCACTGCAAGCAAGCAAGCAAAATACGACATCAACAAGGAGCAATCCGTACCCGAATGCGAAATTTTTCATATCTGTTCATATTCGTATTCGTCACTTTTATGAGAAATTTACGAACCTTCCGTGCTTTACGATATACGATACACGATATTGCTGCCAATAGAGGCGTATTTCCAATACGTGTTGAGGCTAAACACTTTGATCCAATCAGTAAGTAATTAATCAATGTATAATTTATCAATTAATTACTGTGAAACGCTTATAATGCAGCGACTGAAAATAATCGAACCACCCCTTTCTGAGCTCTGCGGAACATTTGTGGTGCATTGTGCTCTCCATACATCTGTTTCAAGGTTAGGTGGCTTCTTATGAACTAGATGAGACTTTTTGTTTAAATGCCGCATTGCGTAGTTTTGCATTGTGTCAGATCCCATCAGTCATTAGCACATATCCAACAGAACCAATAATCTTTTCAATCATACGGTTTTCAGAAGTTAGCTGTGCAGTTCAGGTCCAGGCAATCATAGACAATCAACTATATCCATAGACCAACTGCTTCATGCCCGGCTGGGATCCATGTGTTACGCCGCTCCCTGATTGGTCCGTACCTTTCACTTCAACATTTCAAGGTTAAAAACTCGACAAATGTCAATTTTAGTGGGCTGATTACATTCAGCCTGTTCAAATCTATGTTTCTGGCTCTTGGTTTTTGAGCAAAGCTTGTTGGTATAAATACCAAGTGAAACACAAACAATCAGTTGTCGGCACGAGCGGCACGAGCGGTGTTCCTCCGTAAAACTTCCTCTGAGGCTCTAAAATTAAAGTTCATTTGAAAAATCGAGCCGTTTGATGATATTCCTCATTTATGTGAGCTTCTTTTTCACCCACTGAAAGCAGCTGAACATCAACTTAAAAGGTATAAACTGTTCCACAAGTGTGGCATCGACTGCACCAAGCTGCCTCCGCCAGCGAACGCCGCGTTCTGGTTGGTGGAGCTCGAGCCTCCTCGACCAATCAGGACGCGGCGTTCGCTGCCGAGGCAGCTTGGTGACCACAGCCGACCAATGACGAGTGAAGTGAAAGGTACCGACCAATCAGGGAGCGGCGTAACACATGGATCCCAGCCTGGGCATGAAGCAGTTGGTCTATGGATATAGTTGATTGTCTATGAGGCAATGGAAAAGCAAGGTATCATTTCTCCTCTGGTCCCCCTCTGCTGAAGTCAAGGTAATTTTTCACTTTAGTAGAAATATTTTGACGAGTCTTCTACTCTTTTCCTGTCCTGCTTGGATCCTTAATTAGTAGGGCGTCAATTCAAGCATAGACAATCAACTATATGCATAGACCAACTGCTTCATGCCTGGCTGGGATCCATATGTGTTACGCCGCTTCCTGATTGGTCGGTACCTTTCACTTCAACATTTCAAGGTTAAAAACTCGACAAATGTAAATTTTAGTGGGCTGATTGCATTCAGCCTGTTCAAATCTATGTTTCTGGCTCTTGGTTTTTGAGTAAAGCTTGTTGGTATAAATACCAAGTGAAAAACAAACTATCAGTTGTCGGCACGAGCGGTGTTCCTCCGTAAAACTTCCTCTGAGGCTCTAAAATTAAAGTTCATTTTAAAAATCGAGCCGTTTGATGATATTCCTCATTTATGTGAGCTTCTTTTTCACCCACTGAAAGCAGCTGAACATCAACTTAAAAGGTATAAACTGTTCGACAAGTGTGGCATCGACTGCACCAAGCTGCCTCCGCCAGCGAACGCCGCGTCCTGATTGGTGGAGCTCGAGCCTCCTCGACCAATCAGGACGCGGCGTTCGCTGCCGAGGCAGCTTGGTGCCCAAAGCCGACCAATAACCAGTGAAGTGAAAGGTACCGACCAATCAGGGAGCGGCGTAACACATGGATCCCAGCCTGGGCATGAAGCAGTTGGTCTATGGATATAGTTGATTGTCTATGATTCTAGAGTTTTGAACTTGTGGGTCATTGATTTTTGGCCCGCCCTTCTATTCAAAAAATAGGGGGAGGGCCTATGCATTTGCCTTTGTGTCTGTGTGTTGTTGTTGTTGTTGTTGTTGTTGTTGGCGTCTGTGTACAAGGAAGGAGTTGAGCTAGAGTAACCAGATTTGGAGGGTACTTCAGGAGTACCGTCCAAACAAATAATCCGGTGGTGCAAATCCCGTCCGGGTCGCACAAGGGCTGCTGCAGGTGCATCATGGTTTACATGAGCGGGAGGGGGATTTCCGCCATTATTGGTGCTAGCAGGGCACATAGGGGTATTTTTGGAATCGGGGCGACGAGACAAGATGAATGGACCTGGTCCCGACCCCATCGGCCGCTTTTACAAGTTGGCCGGATCAGGATCTTCAAAAAAGGGGGTCGACCGACGAAAAAAAATTATTGCAGATTTCGATTGGTCTCAGCAAGACCTTTTCAACGAGGGGTCAGAAAGGGGGTTCAGGAGCCCGACTTCGTCTATAAGTCACATCAGGATCTTGAAAAAAGGGGGTCGACCGACTGAAAATTTTGACTTAAGTTTTGGATAGGTCTTGGCAAGACCTCTTCAACGAGGGGTCGGAAGGGGGGTCCAGGAGCCCGCCTTCATGAGTTATGGGGAAAAGTGCGACGGACTCGTTTTGCGCTCCTGCTTTGCCTCTTTACCAAGGAGTTGCAGTAGCATGGCAAATATGGGTATTTTCGGAATGAGGGCGAAGAGACAAATGAAATGGGCATATTCTAAGGACAGTTGGAGTAAAAAGTGTAAGGACTATTGCATATTGTGAATAGAAGGGCGGGCCTAAGTCACGATGGTACATCGATAACTGTGCTTTACCCGCTCACGGTGTGTGTGATGCGAGCGGGCCGAGGGCCCGGGCCTTCGACTGGCCAAGTTGGGTCTGATGCGAGGGCCGAAGGCCCGAGAAAAGGCCGCCGGCAGGCCAAGCTGGGCCGGCCCCCTGTCGAACCGAGTTGCCGGCGCAGCGAAGCGGAGCTGGCAACTCGGTTCGACGGAAGGGCGGGCCCTAGCTTGTTATTTATCACCCACACTTGGTCACTCCATGAAAAACTACTGTGAATGACTGCCTTCCAGGCAGACTATCAGAGAGTCTTTTGTTAAGGTGACACACACATCAGATGATTCATTTCTGTGAATGACCTCTCTCTGCCCAAGAACCACGGGTTGGAATACCGGCCGCGCGTGTGTTTTGGCGGTGAATTCTCCCCCGGCTTCTCTCTCCCCGTGGGACCAAGGACGGCATGATTCTCGGCGCTTCTTGCTCCAATGATCTCCCCGCCGCCCTCCTCGAGGCCGAGACCCAGGCCGGGGCCCAGGCCGTGAACTTGACCGGCCGCGCCTTGCCATCCAGGGACGCCCCGTCGCCCCGGGGGGCGTTAATGTCGCATTCCGAGCCCCGCGCGGGGCCGCCTGCCCCGTGTTCTTCACTGCAGGGCATGGCCGGGCATGCCCTGCAGGAACGCGGCCTGCGAGGCCAGCGGACTGATTCCGAGAGTCGTTTGCGTCGCTCTGTTTCTCTCGCACTCATGGGGCGTCCCTTATGGGTGCGAGAGAGACAGGGCGACGAAAATGACTCTCGGAATCAGTCTGCCGGCCGGGTAAACGAGACAATCTCCGGAAGCCAAAGAAGGGCGCGCTGGAATAGGGGGCTGCGGCACGCACCACGGCCCAGCCAACGCGGATCCAAGCATAATGGGTTGCCTGCCTCCCCGGCGCGCCGGTTGGGTTGCCAACCGTCCGGGCGCGGCCGGCCCACGTGGACGATTGGGTTGCCAACCGTCCCGGCGCGGCCGAGGAGCAGGCGCGGAACCAGGGGAGGGGTGAGGGTTGCAACTCCGCCGGCCTGCCCGAACGTAGGCAAAATGTCGCAGTTTGCCCCTCCCTACCAATAGGCTACACTCCCGAGAAAACCATCCTAGCTCGCCGTGGTGCTAGGAAAACATCCTATCTTTTCTGGGTGTGAGAGAATTATCCTAACTCGCACGGCGCTCGGAAGACTATCGGAACTGGGTAGGCTATGTGTGGGAGTTGGGATGGTTCCCAGTTCAGCGCCCCTCGAGGTTCTCCTTGCACCCTGGCGAGTTAAGATGGCTTCCCAGCGCCCACACAAGATAGGGCAGTTTTCTTAGGAGAGGGCGAACTTTTGCTACATCCCCTCTGGACCCGTCTCTGGATCCGACCTTGCCGATGATTGGTTCCGTCTTCTGTCCCTCCAGGCGGCCTTACCTCTGCATCTCGGGGAGGGCGACGGACCGCGCCCCGGGCGGCGCCTTGTCAGTGAGCAGCGCGTCCACGGTGTGCTTGTCGGCGTCCATGCTGGCCAGGATCGCCTCCCTGGGGGCAAAACACGGAAATCCAATTAGGGAAGGCGATGCATTTACTCGAGTCGCACAGTGGGCCAGAAGATCGATGGAGGCGGTCAAAATCCCGGACGCGTTTTGACCCAGATTCGCAAAACAAGACTTGAACCGAACGTGTGACCCCATCAATGGATTGCTCTTCGAACGAGGAATCCATTGGTGGGGGTCACACGCTCGGTTCGAGGCCTGCTTAGCGACTCTGGAGCTCAAAACGCGTCCCGAGGTTTGGCCGCCTCCACCGGTCTTCTGGCCGTGCGACGGCAGCTTGTTGACGACTGGGGGCAGGGACACTGACTCAGGGTAGTGGTCCACTGTGGCGCACACGGTGTCGGAGAAGAGGCTGCAGCCGTGGTGCTCCCGCGGCAGAGTGCTGGAGGGCCTCAGCGTGGTGGGCGTCCTGCCTGGCGGTGGCGGCGGACGCATTCCTGCAACAGCACCACGGTCATCTTGTCGTCCGGATGTTTGCCCTCGATTCGGCGGCGTGGCACAGAGGACCAAGAAGACCGGCGCGGGCGGCCAAAGCTCTTGACGCGGTTTGAGCTCCAGAGTCGCTGAACAGGACTCGAACCGAACGTGTGACCCCACCAATGGATTGCTCCCGGAACGAGGAATCCATTGGTGGGGTCACACGTTCGGTTCGAGTCCTGTTTAGCGACTCTGGAGCTCAAAACGCGTCCGGGGTTTCGACCGCCGCCACCGGTCTTCTGGCCCACTGTGCGTGGCGCCGCGGTGACGCGTGGTGACGCACCCAGGCCGATGTGGCCGCTTCTGCGGTTGACTCCTGGCGGCGGCTGCAGGTCCAGGTCGCCGTAGAAGCGCTGCGGCCGCTGCTGCAGGCGTGGCTGGGGCGCTTCCAGGTGCGGCGGGGCGCGCGGCCCGGCCAGGGAGGGCGGCATGGCGGCGGAGACGACGCCGGTGTGGGGCTTCTGCCACCTGGGCGGCGGCACCTGGGACACGTCAAGCACACCGCAAGCGTGAGCAGCGCTGGGCCTCCCTCGGCTGCAGACTGATGCCGAGATTCTTTTTCGTCGCTCTGCCCCTCTCGCACTCATGGGGCGTCCCGTCTCGGTGCAAGAGAGACCGAGCGAGGAACGCGACTCTCGGAATCAGTCTGCAGCGGTCTGCAGGGAATGCTGGCACTGCGATTCAATCCGATTTCATCAAAGAGTTTCGACGCGTGGCGAGGAACGCGTTTACGCGGCCGCCCGGGCGGCTCGGCCGCTTGCCGCTTGCCTGCCGGGGTTTTGGTAGGTACGCCCCGCGCCCAATGTCGCCACGCGCCACACCTCTTTCAGGCGGTAAAGCAACTTGGCCCGACTTCCGTCCGGCTGCCAGTCCCGCACAAAGCGACGTCGGACTTTTTCCTCAAGGGGAGGGTTTCCGCGCGCTTTTTGGTTACGGACCATGGCGAAAGGAACAGCGGTACAGTATCGCCTTCACTGCTCAAATGGGGTGCATGGCCTTGTTAACCGTGTAGGTATATCTACACTCTAAATGCCCTATGGTGAAAGGCTCTGCACCGCCATATTATGGTGAAGATTTTCTCCAATACGAAAATGAAATTCGTCAAAATCTATATGAAGTGAATTCTTCATGGTGTGATTTAAGTCAACTGCACCACCATAAATATATAGAGAATTTACCATAATATAGAGATTTTCACTACAAACCGACACAAACTTATAGAGTGTAGTCTCAGGATCCAAAATCTCGTCAAGCCACCCCGAAACCAACCCCGTCACTTCATCCGCCCTAAGCGGTGTGGCTTTGCGGGGCGCTTAGCTGGAGCGTAGCCACGTCCAAGTCCGTCCAATCCAAGTTCAAGCCCGGGGCCGCAGCCGCACGGCACGGCCACTGCGCCACAGCACAGTGGGCCAGAAGACCGGTGGAGGCGGCCAAAACTCTAGACGCGTTTTGAGCTCCAGAGTCGCTAAATGGGACTCGAACTGAACGTGTGACCCCACCAATGGATTGCTCTCCGAACGAGGATTGGTGGGGTCATACGCTCGGTTCCAGTCCTGTTAAGCGAATCTAGAGCTCCAAACGCGTCAAGAGTTTTGTCCGCCTCCACCGCTCTTCTGGCCCACTGTGCACAGCCACAGCCCTGCAGGCTGACTCCGAAGCGTCGTCTCTGTCATACTCAGAGGCGTCCCGGAGGTGTGCGAGAGAGACAGAGCGACGACGAAGAGTGACACCACCCGGCCGTCGTAGAACAGCTCGACCGTAAAGTCACTCCCTTTCTGCTAAAATTAGCCGAGTCGGTAAAGCTCCTTGTTCGCCGAGTACTCACGGCGACGTCGAACGGCACCAAGCACCACGGGCAGCCCCACCGGCACAAAAAGTATGAGGGATTTATCCGGCAGAGGCGGCGAGTTCGACTGCCATAAAATCTGCAAGACGGGACCCTCCACACTCGGCGAACTCGAGTTTTTCTTTTCCAGAACGTTGTGACTGATTGAATGAAAGCGGCTGCAGTTCGTCGTTGTTAGCCCGGCTTGCCAATCGCTGAAGTTAGTTGAGCAAGCGGACGAGAGTTGGTCTTCGTCGCTCTGTGTCTCTTGCACTCGTGAGGAGTCGCGGTTAGGGGCGAGAGAGACAGAGCGACGAAAACGACATCGGAATCAGTCTACACTGTTAAAAATCCACTGTAATATTACAACACAATCACCTACAGTAATGCTGTTAAATGACAACCGTATTGTTTTGTATCTGAACGGGAAACCCATCCAGAAACAGCACTTTCGTTCCATAACAACTTCCTTGTCAAGTAACAATAATGTAATCGTGATTAAAAACAGTTGTGTTGTCGTTGAACAGGTTTCATGTTAAGAAACAGCCTTTTGCAATTTTAAAACATATATTGTTGTCAGGTTACAAGGGTCTTGTTTAATAACAGCACGATGAAATCAACACAAATGTTGGGAAGACATCGTCGAAGACTTCAAAGAAGTATTGTTTTATTACAATCGAACTGTCAGAAAACAGCACCGAGGGCTACAACATGCTTGTAATATAACAAGTCGTGTTGCTATCAAACTTAACAGCATAAGTGCTGTTAATTTACAGCACTTTTTTTAACAGTGTACTGCAGGCTTCCCCCACACAACTCACTCACCTACAAGGGACGTCTCATGAGTGCGAGAGAGACAACGCCGATGTTCGGAATCGCTCTGCTGTGCACAGTGGACCAGAAGAGCGGTGGAGGCGGACAAAACTCTTGACGCGTTTGGAGCTCCAGATTCGCTTAACAGGACTCGAACCGAGCGTATGACCCCACCAATGGATTCCTCGTTCGGAGAGCAATCCATTGGTGGGGTCACACGTTCAGTTCGAGTTCCATTTAGCGACTCTGGAGCTCAAAACGCGTCAAGAGTTTTGGCCGCCTCCACCGGTCTTCTGGCCCACTGTGCTGTGCCTGGCGTGGCACCCAGGGTCTGTACATATCCCTCCTTATTTCTCCAGGGCTAGCGAGGGCTAGTTTTACGCCGCTTTTTACTCCTTGACTGCGAATGCCGCGAATGCGAAGGAGACTGGGGGCGTTATCTGCGCGCCATAACCCGTGGCGCCATCGTGGATCGAGCGGTTGGCGGCCGAACTAAAACAAGAATATGCGCGGAGCCCTTCGCCCTTCCAGGGCGGCCCCGCGGCCCCGCGGCCCCGCGACCTCGACCCACTAACGGGCAAACGGGGACAAAAAGTTGCCCGTGATAATGAAGACGGACGATGCCGCTCCAGGCAGCAGACTGATTCCGAGAGTCGTTTTCGTCGCTCTGTCTCTCTCGCACTCCTTCGGAACGGTTCATGAGTGCGAGGGAGACAGAGCGACGGACACGACTCTCGGAATCAGTCTGCAGGCTGTGCATCGCCACGGAAGGGTCCTCCTCTCCACCTGGAGGCTGGAGGGGGACGCAGTCCGTCCTCCGTGCCTTATCTCCCTTATCCGGACTATTAGCCATCACTCGGAGTTCCTGGGGGACTGCCGGGGCCTTGGCCGGGGCCTTGGCCGGGGCCTTGGCCGGGGCCGCTCGGCGTGGCGGAGACTGGGCCGCGGGCCGCACGGCTCTGGCCGAGGCTCCGGCCCACCGCCGCCCAATCACACGACGGGCATGCTGCTCCGTCTCTCTCGCACCCCCACGGGCCCTACGGCACGCCGCGTGAGTGCGAGAGAGGCGGAGCGACGGAGCAGCGCTCGGCAGCAGCCTTGCCGGATTATTATCATCCGCCATCAATGAGCCTCTCGGGGGCGCGGCCTGCCAGGCTTACCCCAGGCTTGCCGGCCCGGGCAGCAGACTCATTCCGAGATTCGTTTGCGTCGCTCTGTCTCTCTCGCACTCATGGGGCGACCCGTATAAGTGCGAGAGAGACAGAGCGACGAAAACGACTCTCGGAATCAGTCTGCAGGCTGATCGGCTGCTCGTGCTCTCGGTGGCAGGTGGTGCGCCTGGAGGGCCTGGAGCGCCTGGAGGGGCGGCTGGCAGACTGGAATCTCCGCTCCCCGCTGTTTAGGGGGAAAGTTTCGGAAAAGTTGTAAGCCGAGCCGGCAAGTATTTGGGCGGCCGTCATGTTAATTTCTAGTTTCCCTTCCGCCGCGGGGCGCGGCCCGCCACCCGCCACTGCAGGTCGGCCCGTGGCGTGGCCATGGCCCCCGCCTGCCTTGTTTACCTGGTGTTGCGGCCGATAGGCGCCGAAGTCTCGGCCCGCAACTGTAACTCCCGGCTCTCTACTGTAAGTCCACTGTAAATCTTCGTTCAGCACTGCAAGCCCCAGCCCCTCCGCCACTTTTAGTCCCTGCCGGCTACTGTAAGTCAGCTCCCCGGCCCACCTTGTTTACCTGGTGTTGCGGTCGGTAGGGGGCGCCCTGTCCACCATGTCCGTGATTGTAAGTCCCGGCCCTCTACTGTAAGCCCTTCGCTCGCCACTGTAAGTCCCGGCTCTACTGTAAATCTTCGTCCGACACTGTCCGGCACACCACCGTAAGTGTTGCGGTCGGTAGGGGCGCCACCCTGTCCGCGGCCACTGTAAGTCGCGGCCGCCCATTAAGTCCCGCCCTGCTACTGTTAGTCCCACCCCGTCACTGTAAGTTTCGGCCGTCCACTGTAAGTCTCTGTCCGTCACTGTACAGTCCCACCCCGTCACTGTAAGTCCCACCCCGTCACTGTAAGTCCAACCCCATCACTGTAAGTCCCACCCCGTCACTGTAAGTCCCACCCAGTCACTGTAAAGTCCCACCCAGTCACTGTTAGTCCCACCCCGTCACTGTAAGTCCCACCCCGTCACTGAAAGTTTGGGTCCTCCACTGTAAGTCCCTGTCCGTCACTGTAAGTCCGTCACTGCAAGTCCCGCCCCGTCACTGTCAGTTTCAGCCCTCCACTGTAAGTCCCTGTCCGTCGCTGTAAGTTCCAGCCCACTACAAGTCCTCCCCCGCCTTGCTTACCTGGTGCTGCGGCCGGTAGGGGCCACCCTGTCCGCCCACGCTGCGGCCCTGGCCGACCTGGCCCTGGTCCTGGCCCTGGCCCTGGTCCTGGGGCCCCGCGGCGTCGGGCCCCGCCTTGGGCAGTCCGGCCCCGCGGAAGATGTGCGCGATGTCGGCGCTCAGCGGCAGCAGCAGCTGCGTCGTCAGGTTGCTCTTGCCGTCCGGGGTGGCGCCCAGCTTCATGGCCATCTGCATGGAGGAGAGCGAGATCAGACACGTCCACTGGGACGAGCGTGTGACCCCACCAATGGCTTGCTCTCCGACCGAGGAATCCATTGGTGGGGTCACACGTTCGGTTTGAGTCCCGTTTAGCGACTATGGAGCTCAAAACGCGTCTGGAGTTTTGGCCGCCTCCACCGGTCTTCTGGCCCACTGTTAGTGTTCCGGATCGGGTGGGCAGTCAAAACCCGTTCACTCCAGAGCGACTCTAGAACTCGGCCGGTGAAGGCAGTGCCACCCGCAGGCACTGCCGACGGGCTAGCTTAGGCCCTACGCTAGCTTGCTGGCAGTGCCTGTTGGCGGCACTGCATACACCGGCCGAGTTCTAGAGTCGCTCTGGAGTCATCGGATTTTGACCGCCCAGCCACCCGATCCGTGACACTACCCACTGTGCGCCTCAGTTTGACCGGTGTGTGTGTGTGCGACTGACCTGCAGCGGGGGGTCGTTGACGTGCTCGGGCACCATGGCCTGCTGCATGACGAGGGCGGCGAGCGCCAGTCGCTGCGGCGGGCTCATCACCCTGATGATGGGCAGGATCTGTCCGAAGCGCTGCGTCATGCCGGGCCGCTTGAGCGTGGCGCCCATCACCCGCAGCATCATGGCGGACTTCTCGGCCTGCACCTCGCCGGGCCGGCCGGGCCTTTGGCCGGGCCTTTGGCCGGGCCCCGCCGCCGCGCCGCCCTCCGCGTCGCCCGCCAGGAACTCGTCGTCCGACAGGTGTGACAGGTCGCCTGCGCAGAGAAATTCACGTTGGTGCCGCTAATGTGCACACTGGCGATCGAAAGGTCGGGACATGCCCACACATCGGTGAGGTCACTTGATGTCCACGGTGAAAAGCTGCACCTGCATGGTATGGAGGATATTTTGATACATTCTATACGGCACACTATTTTGAACGCGGCGGGAACAGCTTATTCCCACATTCATTGTACAAAATTTGACCACATTCCACATTCAGGCGCCAAAAACGCCTGTAAGTAGGCAAGATGTGTGGCAAAAACTCCAGAAATCTTGCACATTCTTGCACATTCACACAATCATTGTACACAAAATTTTACAGTGGGTCACCCCTCGATTTTGAATGTGTACCGGAAGTTACACTCCTGTTCATGTGCACAGACACAAGTGTGTGCATGGCACTGGCACTCTTTTCTTAACTCTGAGCCGCTCCGGCCACACTGTTCTAAACTCTGGGCCTGTAGGCACACTTTTCTAAACTCAGGGCCTGCAGGCACACTGTTCTAAACTCTTGGCCTGCAGGCACACTGTTCTAAACTCTGGGCGTGCGGGCACTCTGTTCTAAACTCTGGGCCTGCAGGAACACTGTTCTAAACTCTGGGCCTGCGGGCACTCTTTTCTAAACTCTGGGCCTGCAGGAACACTGTTCTAAACTCTGGGCCTGCAGGCACACCTTCAAAACAAGCGTGTCATGCACACACTTGAGTCAGTAGAGATTTTGCAGTGTGGGGCCCGTTAAGTGCGCGCTGCCCTTTCAGGACGACAAAGGGGCATTAGGCGGAGAGAGACAGGGATGTATACACGTCGCCCATTAGACCATGCGAGTAATGTCACGGCGACGCATATAAAGGCCTGCAGACTGCTTCCGAGAGTCATTTTCGTCACCCTGTCTCTCTCGCACTCATGGGTGCCCCATATAGACGCGAGAGAGACAGAGCGGCGAAAACGACTCTCGGAATCAGTCTGCAGGCTGGGCTGCCCCGCCCTTCAAGGGGCCCTGCCCGGGATGGGATGCCTTTGTGCAGAGCGTGGCTGCAAACCACATCCTGGGTAGGATCACTGCAAGCGGGACGGGGGGAGTGGTCAGGTCAGGGAGGGCGTATTGTGTGTCTGCTTGCAGTCTGCACGCGAAGAAAGACAGAAATTGTGTTCAAACCACTTATTTTTTTCCCAGAATCTCACGATTTATGCTTGAGTAGAGCGCAGCGACGTCGGCTCGAGCGCGGACTGGAAATGACTCGCAGTTCATTCGAGTTTGCCAGTGCAGTTGGATGGTAATCGCACGAGGAAAGTCGGCAGCGGGGTGGCAGTCGAGCGATGATTCAGAGGGGAATCGTTCCGTCGCTCTGTCTCTGTCGCACTTACGGGGATCTCCAGTGGGGTGCGAGAGAGACAGACCGACCAAGCGATCTTTGAAACCACTCCGCAGGTAAATGGAACGCAATGGCGTAATGAACGAGGGGGAAAACACTCCGAGAAATCGTGTACAGAGTACTCGGTATTACACTGCATTACGGGGATATTACACGTGTATTACGGCATAACAATGCCAAAATTTGGCACATTTGGCCAAAAAATGGTAATACAATTACGTGTATTACGCGTTATACACGGTTTTTGTGTACAGGGTATTACATGAGTGTTTACCCCCTCGGTAATGAACGTGTAAATGATCGGATCGGTGACCTAAGCTTCTTACTGTGCGGCTCGGACTCGTTGTCATCCAGGGAGAGGTCGCCAAAGTCATCCAGGCGCTCGGACGACTCGTCCAGGTCGCCGTCGGAGTTGCAGATGCCGACCAGGGCTAGGATGACCACCTGGAATCAGAGTCGACATTCGATAAGTCAGTGTGCGTGCGGACACAAAGGACAGGCAAGGAGGGGCCAAACGCGGCTCCACAAGGGGGAGAAAGGAATATTGCCCCCCCCCCCCATTTCAACCCCTTGATAGCTGCCTGAAATGTAGGCAAAAAGTGACACTAAGCCCCTGTAAGTATAGACAAAAAGTACTACTTTGCCCCACTATCCACTTTTTTTTCCTCCACAGGCCACCTCTGGATCCGCCACTGGCAGGGCAAAGAAGATGATGACGCCGTTAGCGTTTACTACTGTCTCACTCAAACCATGATGGCCCATGGCGCAGGGCTTAGGGTGGGTCAGGACAAGGACACCACACACACACACACACAGAGACACACAGACAGACAGACGCACACACATACCAACTTTTTCTCTCTCTCTCTCTCTCTCTCTCTCTCTCTCTCTCTCTCTCTCTCTCTCTCTCTCTCTCTCTCTCTCTCTCTCTCTCTCTCTCTCTCACACACACACACTCGCGCAATCACAGCCCACAAAAACACACACTTGCGCGCATGCCCCCGTTGTTGTTGCCGTCAGCAGAACGGGGTTAATATCCCCGGATTGGATCACCACTGGAACAATCAGGAGTCCGGCTTAGTGTCCATCCCGCCTCACGACGTCCGACCCGACGACGTCCGACCCGACGACGTCGTGGCCGCCGACTCCCAAGTGGTGACACAAAGCCTTTCTCTCTGCTGCCCCGAGGCTGCCCGGGGCCGGGCTGCACGCCGGCACGATTCAGTCACCACACACGTGAAGCGCTGTCTGGGGGAAGTCCTAGAGGTAAACCCTTTCCCTTCAACACCTTCCTTCCTTTCTTTTTTTGAAGGGCTCCTCTTTGACGCGCGGCCACAATAGCAGGCGGCAGAGCGCGGCAGCAGACTGATTCCGAGAGACGTTTTCGTCGCTCTGTCTCCCTCACGCCTATTCAGCTAAGACCTCAGAGAGCGAGAGAGACAGAGCGATGCAAACGACTCTCGGAATCAGTCTGCTGGCCGCTGTTGTCGTTTGTCGGTCTGGGGGTTTAATGAAACCGCGGTGGAAGGGACAGCACAACTGATTCCGCGAGAGTCTCGTTTTCGTCGCTCTGTCCCTCTCGCACTCATGGGGCGTCCCGTATAGGTGCGAGAGAGACAGAGCGACGAAAACGACTCTCGCGAAATCAGTCTCCAGGTTGGCTGGAAGTCGCTGCTTGCGTTTCGCGCACCGCATAGCCCTGGTGCCCCCCGTGGGAAAACGGAGGGGGAAAGGGGAGGGGGAGGGGAGGGGAAGGAAGACGGTCTCTGCGGTGACGCGCGGCACTTCTCTTTTCATTTCACAGTGGCGCGCCGCGGCGGCCCGGCTCGACGTTTGCCGCCAAGTTTCGCCGCGACGATTAGTCTCCGCCACCGCGAAGCGCCATTGCGATTGAACGAACCGTCGCGGCGAGTCCCTTTTGTTTTGGCGGCACCCGCAGACTGGTATTCCGCTTGTCGCCCCGTCTCTCTCGCACCTGTCCGGAGAGCGACGTGAGTGCGAGAGAGACAAAGGCAGGGCTGAGATAAGGCGCGCGGCGTCAGGCGATAGGAAAGACGGAACCCGAACCGCCCGAGTCAAGCCCTCCAGGGCTGAAGGCTGAAACTGAGGACCTGTTTCCCGCAAGGCAGGGCGAGTCGGGGCGAGGCGGGGCGAGGCGGAAAGGCGGGGCGCCGGCGCCACCGCGGCCGCGGCTCCGGTAACTCGTTTGATGTTCTCCTGACGAGGGGCCTGTCAGCCTCCGGGCGCCAAGTGGGTACTCCCTAAATGTTTTGTACGAATCCTGAACGAGACGTCACAGGTACACTGTTAAAAAAGCCGTACATTTCAAGGAATAACAGGGAAAGTAGCGATATACATCGGCAACTTTGGCCCGTCCCGTACCTTTAGAAATGTGCGAATTTCGCCTATGTTTAACCCTGACGAGATTTAAACCTGAGTTGGGGTTAAAATAGATGTTATTTTCGTCATCAGCGCCCTAAAAAACATCAGAAACCATTCAAAAACTCGAACAAAAAGAATGTTCGAAATGTATCCCACTGGGATTTTAACCCGTGAGTACACTTTAACACACACTTTAAAGTGTGTACTCAGTGCATGCACTTCTATGTACTCACTGAGTACACACATAGAAGTGCATGCATTTTCCCTATGCCACACTTTAAAGTGTGAACTCAGTGAGTACACACATAGAAGTGCATGCATTTTCCCTATGCCATCCATGCACCTCGCAAGTCAGTGTGTATTCACTGAGTACACACTTGAAATTGTGTACTCATTCAAGTACACACTTCTAGGTGCGTGCTTAGGCAAGTACACACCTCGAAGTGCATGCTTGTAAGCACGAACCTAGAAGTGTGTACTGAGTACACACATGGATTTTGTGTGCAAGTCTAGGAATGGTCATGCATGGGTTGCGATCCCTTACGAATAAGTACAATGAATCCTGAAGAGGGAAGGCCAAGGCCAAGCCCTACCCTCTCCGCGGCAGTGTTAAATGAAATCATTTTTCTACGTTGTAAATCATCCTGAAGATTTACCGCGTTTTGCTCTGTGTTTCGCACATTGTCGACCACTCCACCCTCGCGAGAGCACAGCCCAGATATTGTATATGGTGGGCACGAGTGGTCAGCACTGAAGTGGACAGGCGAGGCGTTTCCGAAAAAATAAAGCAAGAAAACGCATTCGCGAAAGCGCTGCGGCGGGGATCGAACCCGCGTGCTCGCTGCTCCAGCGTCGCAAACGATCGCTCGCGGTCACGTCAGCGAACTCTACTGGTTTCCATCATCGACACGGAGGCAGGGCAGAAAATGGAGAAAAACACTCGACGAAAAAAAAACCGCTACAGTGTGCACGCGATCCACGGGTTCGGCCGCAGACTGATTGCGAGAGTCTTTTTCGTCGCTGTCTCTTTCGCACCATGGGGGACGCTCCATGAGTGTGACAGGGACAGATCGACGACAACGACTCTCGGAATCAGTCTGCCGACGGTGCCAACGGTATCCCCGGACGTCCGGGCTAGACGGTACAGCGTCCACCACAGCAGGCAGCAGGCAGCGTCGCCCCGAACGCACTCAAATTTGCGAACGCTCTTTGCTGGGGGCGGCGGGAGGGCGCCGCCAAATATTGGCCCGTCCCGTCGCAGCCTCGGCCAGCCTCGGCCAGCCGGCGCACAGTGGGCCAGAAGACCGGTGGCGGCGGTCAAAACCCCGGACGCGTTTTGAGCTCCAGAGTCGCTAAATGGGGCTCGAACCGAACGTTTGACCCTACCAATGGATTGCTCTCCGAACGAGGAATCCGTTGGTGGGGTCACACGATCGGTTCGAGTCCTGTTCAGCGACTCTGGAGCTCAACGCGTCTAGAGTTTTGGCCGCCTCCACCGGTCTTGTGGCCCACTGTGCGGCGCCGTTCCAACGGACTGCCATTTACATACGGAATGTTTGGCAGGTGTAAGCCTGGCATGCACACACAACAACGTCCCGTTGCTCGCGCGCACACACATACAAACACACACAAACGCTCGCACATATACTCACACACACGACCCTGTGATGGCTGTGCCGCGCCCGTCGTTCAATCAATGGATTGAAACAGGCTCCTGCTTTCTTCAGACCCCCCAAAAGAGAGGGAGGCAGGAAAAAAGCGGGAACGATGAAGAAGGCGAAAATGGAGATGAAAAGGCGGCAGCGGCGTCCGAACCTGGAAGCGCTTATTCGGCATTTCGCTCGCCGGTTTCAGTTTGATTATTTGTTGTGCTTTTTTCCGCTCCTGTTTTCTCGGCCAATAGGTCTATACACTGGCGCTGCTGCGTGCGCGCTCGGCCGCCCCGCCCCACCCCGCCCCGCCCCGCCCCGCCGACACACGGTTCCTGCCCATCCGCCAAACCCGGCGAAGTGTTCTGCTCTGAAAATGCCGGCTGGCCGGGGCGGGGCGGGGCGGGGCGCGGGCGGGGCGGGGCGGGGCGGGGCGGGGCGGGGCGGGGCGGGCGGGGGGCGGGGCGGGGCGGGGCGGGGCGGGGCGGGGCGGGCGGGCGGGGCGGGGCGGGGGGGGGCGGGGCGGGGCGGGGGGGGGCGGGGCGGGGCGGGGGGGGCGGGGCGGGCGGGGGGGGGGCGGGGCGGGCGGGGCGGGGCGTCTGTTCGGCGCGCTGCAGACGGATTCCGAGCAGCGCTCGCTCTGCCTCTCTCGCTCTCAAGGGGCGTTCCGTATGAGTGCGAGAAAGACAGAGCGACGCAGCAGTGTTCGGAATCAGTTCGCTGGCGCGCTGAGGCTGGGAAAAGGGGGTCCGCGGCGGGGGAGGGGGAGGGGGGCACTTCACACGCGGCGGGGGGAGTCGGTGTGGCCAAGAGACCGTGAAGACGTTCAACACACATGGGTATTGTTGTCGTTGACGGGACACCTGATGGAAGTAGGCAACACGGCAACAGGTCAGTGGGTCCGGCCGCCGTCTCACGTCCGAACGCGTCTACATCAGCAGGCGCTGCCCGGAGGCACCCGAAAGCATTCATCACTGGGACACGCGTTATCCGCGGCCCTGGATTCCGATGGGCATTTTCGTCGTTCCGTGAGTGCGAGAGAGACAGAGCGACGGGCCGTGCAATAAATCCACGGCCCCCAAATTCGGTCCGATATTCGAGCTATTAGGGCTTAACGCGGCGCGCCCGGGCCGGGGCTCTCAATCCACGCGAGGTGTCATTCAATCGCTATCTAATAAAGCTCGCCGGCGATGCGGAGGAAAAAAATATTCAAATTAGCCTGGGAGAGGCGCGCTTCCTATCGGACCAGGGGAGAGAGAGAGAGAAGAGAGAGAGAGAGAGAGAGAGAGAGAGAAAGAGAGAGAGAGAGAGAGAGAGAGAGGAGAGAGAGGAGAGAGAGAGAAGGGGGGCGAGGCGGCGGCCCCGTTGAAACTGGGGTGGGGCCCCCCACGGCAGCAGCCCGCCCCCCTCCCCCTGGCACTGGACCGCCGAGGAGTCCGAGGGCAGTCTTCTCTCCGGGCATCACCGTATCAAACAGGTGGATAGAGGACAGGTATTTTTCAGCTGACAGCGGCCGGGTACCTGCTGGACCGGAATCTAACGGGCTGGCCGGCCAGGACAGGGGAAGGGGGAAAGAGGGGGGAGGCGACCGTGACCATCGCACGGCCGCGCCGCCTCACAATGTCCACGCACGCCACACGCCTCGCATGCCGGCCCCTCCCCCCTCCCCCCCCCCCTACGGCCTTCCCCTTCCCCCTTTCCACGGCCACTTTCACGCGGACGCAGCGCCGGTAGCGCTTTAATAATGCTTATAATGAGTGTGACGTGTGTGACGTGGCCGTCCCCGAGTGACGTGTGTGACGTGTGTGACGCGTGCGCTATAAACTTCACTGCGTGTACTAAGTACACTCTAGATGTCTTAGGGTGAAAGGCTGCACCAATTATGGTGGACAATGAAATTTCAGAGGAAATTTACAAAGTCGTTTGCCATGATGTGATGAATATTCTTGATCGAATCACTACCGTACGACTTAAGAGTGTACACACTTACAAGTACAAACTTACAAGCTTAGAAGGAGACACTTCCTATGCTTAGCGAGAGTGATGAATATGTATTTAGAACTGTTTACTAGCCAGCCATGCCACTTATGCGTACTCAGCCAAGCACGCACTTGTTGGTGTGAACTTGCAGGCATGCGTTTTAACACAGCCATTCAGCAATACCCACTGTCTACCTTTTGCAATAAAACAATTATTGCAATGTTTTAAAACAATGCGTGCACTAAAAAATGAAATAAAAACATTCTTTTAAAATCGTGCATCAAAGTTACTACACTTTTGCAATGATGCCTGCAAAGTAAATGCAAAAGAAATTGAGCAAACTTTTGCAATATAAGTAAGTGCTACAAACTGCTCCTTTGTCACACAGAGTACGGGGTGGTTTGACAAAATATTGCAATAGCTAAATTATTGCACCCCATGGTGCGATATACCATGGGCATTGCAAACTCGGTTGTATTGCGAAAACTATACATCATAGTCTTATTGAATGCCAGTGTGCGTCTCACTCCGAAAAATGAATGACGGTTAGTCTTTTTCCAAAGTTTTATCCTGACAGAGGTCAGTCTTATTCCAAAATGAATGACAGTGTAAAAAATTTATGCCAAAATGAATGACAGGGCAAGTCTTCACTCTCATTCCTGGAACGTGACATGACGTTGAAACGTATGTGACAAGATATGTCATGTTCCTTTGAGCATTGTGTCACTTCGTTTGAACGTGAATAAGCTCACTTATGGCTGATTCAGATACGAACGAATGTGACACAATGATCTAAGGAACGTCTTGTCACATTCGTTTCAACGTGATGTCACGTTCCTGGAATAAAAGTGAATGACAGTATAAAGTCCTATTCCAAAATAAATGACAGTCTCAATCTAATGCCAAAATGAATGACAGGGTAAGTCTTATTCCATCATGAATGACATAAGCATAAGTCTTAATCCAACATGAATGACAGAGTAAGTCTTATTCCATCATCAATGACAGTACAAGTCTGAATCCAAAATGAAGGACAGAGTAAGTCTTAATGACAGTATAAGTCCAACGCCAAAATGAATGACAGGGTAAGTCTTAAGTCTTATTCCATCATGAATGACAGCATAAGTCTTAATCGAACGACAGAGTAAGTCTCATTCCATCATGAATGACAGCATAAGTCGTAATCCAAAATGAATGACAGAGTAAGTCTTAATGACAGCAGAAGTCTTAATCCAACATGAATGACAGAGTAAGTCTTATTCCATCATGAATGACAGTATAAGTCTAATGCCAAAATGAATGACAGGGTAAGTCTCACTCCGAAATGAGTGGCGGTGTAAGCGTGTTCTAAGTAGACAGTTAGGCTTGTGGTGTGACGTGAGTGACGTGCTATGCGGCAAAGGAAATGCAGCCGCTGCTCGTTACGTCGCGGCTGCACGATGAGCAGAAGAAAAATGAAAAAAATAATAACAAAAACAAGAATGAAGCTTTTGCGGCACAGGACAGAGAAACGAGCCCAGCTTTCCTCGGCGGCTTCGCCATGGCTCCGCGTCCTCTGTCTTTACCCAGCCGACGGTGACCGGGGAGCGCCGGAGAGCGCGCCGACCCGCCGGCTTTCAGCGCTCTCGTAACAGCAGCGCAGGGTGACAGTGACGACGGGTCCCGCGGATCACAGGAAAAGCAAAAACAGTCCGGCAAACGCGCCGATGACGCGAGAAGAGTTTCACGTCAACAGAAACGTCTTTGCTTCGCAGAGTTTTCACCGAGATGGACGGAGGGATCGGAATTCCTGCACCCAAAACAGGCGTTTCTTGGGTGTGTATGGCGTGAATACAGAAGAATTTTTGCACCATTTTGACACCCACACAACCGCCTAAAAAGCAGGCAAAAAGCCTTTGCAAGTAAACAAAACGTGCTCTCTGCCCCCTTAAAGGCCGCCAGCGGATCCACCTCTGGAACGCGCTGCGGAGCACCCGAAGGAAGAGTTCATCGCATTGTCTCTGTCACACCCATGCGGCGTCCCTTAAGAGAACAAGAGAAACAGAGCGGCTTAGCGATCCTTCTTCGTAAACAGGCGGACGTGGCGCGAGTCCCAGGAGTAAACCGCAGTAAAGCCAAAGCCCGCCCCGCGCTGGCTCCGCTGTCCGGGACACCGGGTGATATTTAGTTCCGGTAAAGTTCAAGCAGGCACGGCCGGGCACGGCACTTTTATGGCCTCATCTCCTGCTGCAAGCGCTGCAAGCGGACGGCGGGCCGTTTTCAATCAGAGACAAAGGCCAAAGGCAACCAAAAGGCAATGCCAAAGGCAACCAAAAGGCAACCAAAAGGCACAGCAAAAGGCAACCAAAAGGCAAGGCCAAAGGCAACCAAAAGGCACAGCAAAAGGCAACCAAAAGGCAAGGCCAAAGGCGACCAAAAGACAAGGCAAAAGGCAAGGCAAAAGGCAACCAAAAGGCAACCAAAAGGCAACCAAAAGGCAACCAAAAGGCAAGGCCAAAGGCAACCAAAAGGCAAGGCAAAAGGCAACCAAAAGGCTAGGCCAAAGGCAACCAAGGGCGAAAGGCAACCAAAGACGCGGCCAAAGACACACAAAAGGCCGTCAACGAAGGCGCCCTGCCTTAGCCAGCAGACCGATTCCGAGAGGTGATGTTTACGTCGCTCTGTCTCCCTCGCACTGATGGAGCGTCCCGAATAGGCGCGAGATAGACAGAGCGACGAAGACGACTCTCGGAATCAGTCTGCAGCGCGGCAACCGTGGGAAGCAATCCGCGGATAAACGGGCGGGCCGCGAACGGACGTGCAGCGGCATCCCCTGACCAGCGCGGCGTAATGGTGCGAAGAACGGACAGACAGACGGAAAGATAGACAAACTAATAGACAGACAGACAGAGAAGCAGAGAAATCCAACAGAGAAATCAAGTATCTAGACAATGAGATTCGTCTAAACAACAAATAAATCCTCGGTGGGTGTGGCAGACGAATTAAGCCTCGGTGTTGGTAATGAGGAATTAAAAGACCCTTTCGCTCGCCGTCGATTAAAACAACAAAAGTTCGATTCCGGAAACGGTCGTCCGCTGAAGCAACTGGCGTGCCTCTGTCTGCCCATCGACATTTCACAGGTGTTTGACTCTCACTGAGGCGAGGCACTTGTCACAACGGAGATTAATGTGGTAAATAATGAGGATAGTTCACCCTAACCTCACTTTTTCGTTTCCGGTTTGGATTACCCCTGCTTTCGTTCTGTTGTGACAGTCGTTGTCGGATTAGGTGGGCACTAAGCCATGGAAACAAAGTCGAGGGTTGGCGAATATCAACTGTGCATTCTGCTGCTCACTACCTGGGCGTGGAGCCCTCCCTAACCATCTATCAATGTAAACAAATAACTGAAGTGAATTTCTTTGACCAGACAGAACTTTAGGAAACCGAAAACTGGGCGTACGCCCCGATAATGTTTGGTGGCCTAGTCCTCCAGGAAGTCAAGTCACTGCTGGTTCCAAACATTCAACAGGTGGGAATTTCAAAGCTACACTGTAGCGAAAGCGGTCCACTTACCAGCAAAATGCGCGCGGAGAGCCTCATGGCTGCTGTAGGTTAATCCAGTTAGGCACACTTTGTCACTTTGGCGGGCCACGCACTCACGCACTCACGCACTCACACTGACACAGTCCTTCGCACTAAGTTAGTCCTGGCCGTGGCCATGGCCGTGCTGGGGCGCTCCTCTGCAGACGCGGTAGCGCGGTGTGGCTGCGCGCACGCACCTTCCTCTTGACGGACTCGTTTGAGGCGGCGGGCGCGGCGCTCAGACCGGCGGGGCAGGCACGCCAGGCAGCGCGGTGCAGGCAGCGGGACGAGAAACACTGGCGGGGCCGGACTCGAGCATCAGGACTCACCGGCGTAGCAAGCGGCGGCGCGGCGGGGCGGGGCGGGGCGGGGCGGGGCGGGGCGCACGCCGGCTGGGACGCGGTCGGTGCCGCGCCACGCGGCATGAGATGCTGATTTCTGACGGAGAAAGAGGTGGAGGACGTGGCGGGGCTGGCGGAAGAAAGGAGGAGGGTCAGGGAGGGGGCAGGCGGGCCTAGAGGCGGGCCCGGCAGGGGCACCGTCGGCACGGGTCGCATCGCCGGCCGGCATCGCCATCGCGCATCGGGGGACGCGACGCGGGGGACGGGTCGGGACGCCACGGTGGCTCCTCGTTCCCCATTTCTCGGTCAAGGCAAAGGATGCCCGCTACGCCGCCGCCATGCCGCCGCGCACCGCGCGCCCGGACCAGGTCAGGGCAGGGCGGCCCGGCGACGCACACGCGCAAACACACACCCTCACTCACACGCTCACTCACACACACAAACAGTCCCGTTGTAACTAGCCGTCCGCCGGCCTGGCGCGTCGCACCGCGTTCATTATCCTGCGTGGGAGTGACAACGACGAGGATGAGGACGACGACGAGGATGAGGAAGACGATGAGGATGAGGACGACGGTGAGGATGAGGACGACGACGAGGACGACGACGAGGATGAGGACGACGACGAGGAGGAGGACGACGATGAGGATGAGGACGATGATGAGGATGAAAACGATGACGAGGATGAGGACGACGACGAGGATGAGGATGGCGACGAGGATGAGGACGACGACGAGGATGAGGACGATGACGAGGATGAGGACGACGACGAGGATGAGGATGGCGACGAGGATGAGGACGACAGCGAGGGTGACGATGACGACGAGGGTAAGGATGACGACAAAGAGGGTGAGGATGACGACGACGACGAGGGTGCAAAGAAAAGTACGTAGCTTGTCCATGTCGTAACAAATTGTTTTGAGAGCACACATAAGCTCACAAAACAAACTACTTCGAAATTGATGAACTATTCATAGTATAACTGAAAAATGCTCGAAATACTTCGGAAGGTTTCAAGCGTGCGGAGACGACGAGGAGGATACGACGGTGACGGCTCGGCGTGGCGGTGGCGGGGGCGGGGGCGGGCAGGACTCGCGGCGCGCCGCGGCGGGAGGCCCTTGGCCTTGAAACACTAGACACCTTTCTCGCGCCGCTGCGGTTTCCTTGCACTTTCCTCCACCACTTCCCCCATTTGCATGCGTCGGCGTGGCGCTGTGCGGCGTGGCGTGGCGTGGCGTGGCGTGGCGTGGCGTGGCGTGGCGTGGCGTGGCGTGGCGTGGCGTGGCGTGGCGTGGCGGGTGGCGTGGCTGGACGTGGCGTGGCGTGGCGTGGCGTGGCGTGGCGTGGCGTGGCGTGGCCGTCGGCGTGGCGTGGCGTGGCGTGCGTGGCCTGGGTGGCGTGCGCGTGGCGTTGTGCGTGGCGTGGCGTGGCTGCTGGAACTGGCATGTGGCCGGTACCCCCGGGCCCGCCGCCCGACCCACCCGTGCCCGCAGCCTGATTCCGCGAGTCGTTTTCGTCGCTCTGTCTCTCTCGCACCTGTACGGGACGCCCCGTGAGTGCGGCAGAGACAGAGCGACGAGAAAGACTCTCGGGATCGGTCTGCTGCCGGTGCCGGAACGCAGGCGGGACGGCTCCCACGCCTCAGTTATCAAGATGACAAAACCTGTCATGTCACGGCGTACGAAAAGCAGCAACTCTTCCAGCAGCGGCGCACACGTCGTTTGTGTGTGTGCGTGGTCATGTTTTTGTGTTATTGCATGTGTGCACGTACCAACGCACACACACACAGACACACACACACACACGCACACACACACACACACACACACACACACACACACAGCTCGATTTCGTCGTCTTCTTTTCGCGCAGATCATCGCTGATGAAGCTTCTTTTTGCCAGTGTCTGTCTCTGTAAGTGTATGTGTGAGTGTGATGCGATTGTCTGTCTGTTTGTTCTCGACCTCCCCGTTCGGCGCCGTTCGGCGGAGTGGCGTTTGGCGCTGGGGTCATATTGCCGCTGCTTTCTCCGCCGTTGGCCCGTTGGCCCGCCGAATAACGACCCGGTCCTGGTGTGCCGTGGTGTGCCGCTGCTGCCACCGCCGCTGCCGGGGTCGGCGGGTCGGCGGGGGCGTTGGCGTCCTGCAGGCTCATTCCGCGCAGTGCGGCCGTCGCTCTGTCTCTCTCGCACTCATGGGGCGTCTCGTATGGAAGACACACTGTCTCTCTCGCAGACAAGAGACGCGTCCCGTGATACATCGACGGCCGCGCACTGCGCGGTATCAGCCTGGATACTAATCCGAGTCGTCTTGATCGCTCTGTCTCTCTCGCACTCATGGGGCGTCCCGTTTAGGTGCGATAGAGGCAGGGCGACGATAATGACTCCTGGAATCGGTGTCCTGCAGGGTGCTGATCCTCCCGCGCCGCCTCGAAGCAGTCCGTGTCGAACCTCCTCAGCATCACGGCCCCGTGCCCCCGTGTTGAGGCGGTCACGCGTGCCGCCGCGCTCGCACCGCGTTGCCGATGGACTCCGAGGAGAACAGTCCCATCGCTCCTCTCTCGCACCACTGCCGACCCCTTCCCCCCACAACAAGTGCGAGAGAGACAGAGCAACGAATCTCCGAAACCAGCCTGCTGCGAGCAGGCATTCTAAATGGGTTATTGTCGAATGGGTGTTGTCTGCTATGGGCGCTCTACGCCCTCCGCGGTGTGCGAAGGGTGGGAACACGCTGATTCCGAACAGAGAGACAGAAACCTTCGGTCTTTCATCAGTCTGTCTCTCTCTCTCGCCCACAGGAAACGCCTTAGGATCCACTGAGAATCCAAACGCTATGAGTATAGCGTCAATTGGTGCAATGCAAAAGCATTGCACATGAAGTGCAATGCCTCCCAATTCCCATGCATTAGCATAGGGCATTTTCGGGAAGCATTGCACCTAACGTGCAATATGGCTGTGGCATTGCACGTAAGGTGCAATATCTCAGCGCATTGCACCATACGTGCTATACTCATAGCGTTTGGAATCTCAGTGGAGAGCAAGAGAAACAGAGCGACGACAGCGCGGTCCGGAATCAACCTACGGCAGAAGACTACACGCGGTCTGCCCGCCCGCACGCAGCGCCGCGTCGCCGCCGTCGCTGCTGAGACTGATTCCGAGAGTCGTTTTCATCGCTCTGTCTCTCTCGCACTCATGGGCATCCCGTAAAGGTGCGAGAGAGACAGAGCGATGAAAACGACTCTCGGAATCAGTCTGATGTTTGCACGGGGAAGTGTGCCAGCGCCGCCAGACTGTGGGCAGGGCCGGGCAGGGCCACGGGACGCCGCGGGACCGCGGCCACCTCGGCGACCACCCTGCGCGTGGGTGTGGTGTGGTTGCTGGATGCTGGATGGGCCCGGGCCATCATCGCCGTAGCAGGGCGCGCGCTTCGCACTTCGCCCAGGGAGGATCCAGAGATGTGTTCAGAGAAGAAGTGGGGCGACCGTCGCGTAAGTTGCCTACCTACAGGGACCAAGTGCGACCTGTTGCCAACCTTGCAGGCTCTCTCTCTCTCTCTCTCTCTCTCTCTCTCTCTCTCTCTCTCTCTCTCTCTCTCTCTCTCTCTCTCTCTCTCTCTCACACACACACACACACATACACACACGTCTGGATCCGCGCCTGACGTCGTCATGGACCCGGGGGGCCACCGCACCGATCGCCGCTTCCCCCTTCGGACGGCAACTTGTCACACCAACGTGAAGTCGGCGTCTAATGAGCGCGAAACCGCAGCGGGAAGAGGTCCTCTCTCTCTCTCTCTCTCTCTCTCTCTCTCTCTCTCTCTCTCTCTCTCTCTCTCTCTCGTTCTCCCTCTCTAGCACTCGTGAAGCGTGCAGTTCAGGCGCCACAGAGAGAGACAGAGCACTGTTTGGAACGAGCCTGCCGGACAGCTCGGCTCCCCGGCGCTGCGGCCGCCACGGCCGCGCCGTGCCAAATAACTTTTTCCCGCGGGACAGCAATCACGGCGAGGTACACACATGCGAAATGCATCGCGCAATGCGGGGAAGCGAGGAAAGTTGTCCGCCATGACGGCGTCGTCGTCGACGGGCGGCGGCGGTGCCCATGAATCGCCGGACAGGCCCCCGAGTCGCCGCTCTGTCTCTCTCGCACACCTACGCCACGTCCCATGGGTGCGAGAGAGACAGAGCGACATCCCTCGGAACCGGGCGGCAGTAGAGAGAAGGTATTTTACGCGTTCTTACAGTGCGCTCCGGAGCTGGCTGGCCACGGAACCCGGCCTTGGCAAAGTGATTTCAAACAGTGCTTTCGTCGGTCGGTCTCTCTCGCACCCACACGGGGCGCTCCACGAGTGCGAGACAGAGAAAGAGAGAGAGAGAGAGAGAGAGAGAGAGAGAGAGAGAGAGAGAGAGAGAGAGAGAGAGAGAGAGAGAGAGAGAGAGAGAGAGGTGAACCTCTCGGAATCGCCCTGATCGCTGGCCAGGCTGGCCCAAGCCGCTCTGATCTGCCGTGGCGGTTGGCTGGTTGGCTACCCCCGATGCCGGCCCGGCCTGGCCGTCCGCAGACTGACTCCCAACGACGCTTCGTCGCTCTCTCTCGCACCCGAGTGGAACGCCTCATGAGTGCGAGAGAGACAGACAGAGGGACGAAAGCTCTGTTCGGACGCAGCCTGCTGGCCGGGGCGACCGACCCGGGTAATTCATCAGCCAGTCGGGTCGGGTCGGATAAGGGATAAAGGGTCCGCCGCGCCGCCGTGGCCGCGCCGCGCCTTGACTCGGCCCGGCCGCTCTTCTCACCTCGTCCTTTGTGTTCCTCTTTATTTTTCATAGCGGCTAACCGCCCCAGCCATGCGGAAGTGCGCGCGGCGCAGCGCAGCCCGCCAGGCCTAATGACGTTCCACTTTCCCCCAACACGACAAGGCGAAGCA